AACCCCTCTAAAAATTACCCTAGGCCAGTCCTGCGAGCTGGAATAACCAAGTCTTGAGGGCGCGGCGAAAGGAAGGGAGATCAGGGATAACCCTGATCTCTGGGGGCAGTTCATTCCAGAGGGTGGGAGCTCCCACAGAGAAGGCCCTCCCCCTTGGGGTCGCCAGCCGGCACTGTTTGGCCAACGGCACCCTGAGGAGACCCACTCTATGGGAGCGTACTGGTCGATGGGAGGTAATCTGCGGCAGGAGGCGGTCTCGAAGGTATCCGGGTCCGATGATCACCACCTAGCAGAATACTTTAATCTCTTATGTAGCTATTTTAGGCTACCAGTTTCATATGTCTAAGACAGGGGTCTTCAAACTTGGCCTTTTTGTGACTTGTGGACTTCAACTCCCAGGCACGGTGACTGAGGAATTCTGAGAGTTGAAGTCCACAAGTCATAAAAGGGCCAAGTTTGAAGACCCCTGGTCTAAGAGAACTACAGGTCGTCCTCAACTTACAACAGTTCAAAGTTACAACGGCACTGAAAAGTAACTTATGACCGTTTTTCACATTTAGGACCTTTGCAGCATCCCCTTGGTCATGTGATCATTTTTAACTATATATTTTTTTGTTAATTTTTTCTCCAAAAAGCTGTTCTCTCAGCAGGCACCTACAGTATTGTATCCTATCATATAGGATACACACTTTTGAACTATCAGAACTACACAAGAAGTTCAAATAAACTAACCTTATTGAACCAATTGGGACTTTTCTTCTTCGTCACAGCCAGTGTCATACCAAAACCTGCTAGCATTCCTGCAGTAGCGACGGTAGCAAGAAAAACACCACCTGCCAACAGATAGAAAGCAAGGAAAGATTAAATTATCAGATCCATTTTATAGTATCATGAAAAATGGAGATCCATAAATCTCTTTTTGAAGCAAAAGCCTTTGAGTGCTGTCTAGAAGAAAAATTATCAATCTCACAATTGTCAAAATATGCATGCAATCGCTTATTTATTATAAATACACAGGTTAAAACCAATAGAACAAAAGGAGATATAGCAATTGGAATTGTTATTCCAACTGGCAGGAATAGCCAACACTCCAGAAGATAGGCTTAAGATATAGAAGAATCTTGAGAGACTTGAACATTGGCCCCATGTAACAAAATGAAATTCAATGGTGAGAAAAATAAGGTTCTACATTTAGGCAAGAAAAACCAAATGCACAGGTATAGTATAGGTGATACTAGGCTCAATAGTAGTAATTGTGAGCGGTATCTTGGAGTCCTAGTCCTAGAGGACATTCACTTACATAGGAGCTAGCAGTGTGTTGCAGCTGCCAAAAAAGCCAATGCAGTCCTAGGTTGCATTAACAAAGGGATAGAATCAAGATCATGTGAAATGTTAATACCACTTTACAACGCCTTGGTAAAGCCACACTTGGAATGCTGCATCCAGTTTTGGTCACCACAATGTAAAAAAGATGCTGAGAGTACAGAGAAGAGCAACAGAAATGATTAGGGGACTGGAAGCTAAAACATATAAAGAATGGTTTCTGGAATTGTGCCTGTCTAACTTAATGAAAAGAAGAAACAGGGGTGACATGACAGCAGTATTCCAATGTTTGAGGGGTTGCCACAAAGAAGAGGGGGTCAAATTATTCTCCAAGCACCAGATTGCAGGACAAAAAACAATGGTTGGAAACTGACCAAAGAGAGAAACAACCTAGAATTAAAGAGAAACTTCCCAACAGTGAGAAAATTTAACCAGTGGAACAGCTTGCTTTCAGAAATCATGGGCGCTCCATCACTGGAAGTTTTTAAGAAGAGACTAGACAGTCTCTTGTCTGAAATGGTATAGGTTCTCCTGCTTGAGCAGGGGGTTGGACTAGAAGACCTCCAAGGTCCCTTCCAGGTCTATTCTAATTCTAATTCTCCAAAGCACCTAAAGGCAAGACAAGAAGCAATGGATGGAAACTAATCAAGGAGAGAAGCAACCTAGACTAAGGACAAATTTCCTGAGTTAGAACAACTGTCAGTGGAACGACTTGCCTCCAGAAGTGGTAAATGCTCCATCACTGGAAGTTTTAAAGAAGAGAATAGACAACCATTTGTCTGACATCATATAGGGTTTCCTGCCTGAGCAGAGGGTTGGACTAGAAGATTTCCAAGGTCCCTTCCAGCTCTGTTATTCTGTTAATTAGCACAAAGTGGCTTTTAAAATCTCCAGATTGTTGGGGAGATTATGTAAAGTGGCTGTCCCAAATATGTTCATGGTACAAATTCTGAGTGCAGAAGTATGAATGTGGAATGTGTCTGGCTTTCTACACCTATCAATAAACAAAACAACTTTTCTCTGGGAGAAAGAATAGTAAGTACAATTAAATAATAAGCTAGCACCTAGTGGTTTCGATGCCATTACTACACATTACTACCACTAGTTTCTTTCTCTGAAGAAAAAAAACATCAGAGAAAACCATCCTTTTCAATCCATAAGACTGTCCCATTGAGCAGCTGAGACTATTATTTGAGTGTCTTTATATCAGAAGAACTAGTGTTATACATTATTTGGGGATCTTTCTTATTTTATAAGAGCAGCCTTTCTTTAGAAAAGAGGTATATGTTGATCTCACTAGTTCACCCATGAAAATGTATTACTGCACAATCAATAGTTTGCCTGTGATTAAAGACAGTCATCCAAGGGAAAAATCCACCCAACTTTCTACTGTGCCTGCATCTGGATTGTAAAAGACACTGCCAGTATTTGCATGTCCATAAGATGATTGCACACAAAACAAAATCTCTGTACAAAATTCATCTATCCCCCAAAGAAAGCATTCCATTATATCTTTCAAAATGAAGATCAGGTTTTTTATTTTTAATTTTACTTAATGTCTACCTAATTATTGTTTGTTTATTTTGGTCAATTAAGCTAACAGAGATTTAGCTAGCTCTAAGCTTCTTGAAGAAAAAAGTTTGCCCTTCGGAATTCAATAAAGTGACACGTGTTCTAATAATATTCATATGTCCAATTAAATTAGCCGCACTGTTTTTTTATGGATAAAAATTCTTTCATTAATATAGCAAACAGTACAACACAACTCTAATCAAGACCCATGATTTAATGATCTAAAATAAGTTTGCAAACTATTCAAGCATTCACATCTTCTCCAGCTATTTCTTAAGAATAAAAGGTAAACTGAAGCTTGATACCTTTCCCTCAATTTTCATAATCGTTGCAACAAAAGAGGAAGTTTCGAAAACCAAAATATTATATTCCTGGAGGGTTCCAGATTCAGGGAGCCTCATAAAATAGCTGAACTGTTAAATCCACCTATAGCAATCAAAGCTGAAATAATTTCAGTTCCAGCACACACACACACACAGAGGCACACACAAACACACACACTCTTTCTCCCTTTTCTTCATCTCGTTAAGATGAACTTTACACTATCAAAAGCAGAAGACATCCCATGGTCTCCTGTTAACGTCTGGGTAGGACGTCTGAGTTTCTTAGGAATCTGGTTCTTACTGAAACGGATTTTAATGGAAAGAAATCAGATTTCGTGTGAGATGTGGTTGAATCCCTGAAACACGTGCAGCAATGAAGTAGCGGGACGCTCGCTGTGTAAAAACTGCTCCTTGAGGACACCTCAGAAGGACTTTGCCTAATTCCCGCCCGCTCCAGAAGTTAAGAGCTGGGTTTCAAAAACTCAGGAAGACCCCCTTTCAATTCGGCAACATCGCGTCCCCAGAACTGCCCCCTTTTTCATTTATTCACAACTTAGCCGCTGACAGCGACCTTTGATTGCGAAACGTCGCTGTCGCTGCTCGTCCTCTGTCCGGGTCTTGTCGAGATCAGAGCTCGCCGAAGCCTGAAGCGTTCGCGTACCGGCTACCCCGAAATGGGGACCCCGCGTATCTGCTTCTGGGGCAAGCGGCCCCATATTCGGAGGAACTCCAGGGCCTGGGAGGGAACTATCCGAGCCTCCCCTCCAGAGCTACCCGGATGGAGATGCGGCTGGAGGCGGACTCGCGCTTTTGTGCTGCCGGGATCAGCGGCGGAAATAATGAGAGCGATTGCAGCGCCT